GATCGTCTCATCTATGCTGTTTGTACAAAAACAAAAATGAAATCATAAAATTTTGCAAATGCAACTCGTGTTTCTGTTGGGCCTCTTCATCTATAAATGCGCGCGCTTGCCCACAGGTCATACCGGCATTTTTCGATCAGAGCGGCTCGCTCGTAATGGGACCACGTACTGGTACACCAATGCGCCTTGTTAGTCCGGCACCAGTGTTGGTGCCACCAGGAGCGGCACGTGCCGGCCCACCGCCGCCACAGGGCCCACCACAATTATATCCGCCACAGCCGCAGACGGCTCAACAGAATTTGTACTCACAGCAGAATGGTTCAAGCGTTGGAGGTAAGCGAAACTAAAAAGAAACGATTTGTATATAAGCTAGTCATTTACATAAATTGATATGGTAAGCAAACAAATTTTCAGATATATATTTTTTTTCATTTGTATATTTCTATATCTGTGTGTGTACATATTTGTATATTGTCGATCTCAATGCCAATTTGACGACGATTAAATGTATTATATAACATGTATATAACAAACATGAATATATTTTTTAACTTACACTAAGCTTAATATTAGTAAACATATATATGCATACAATGAATTATTTACCCTTTTTTCTCTGCGGCCCAACTTCCAGCAGCCAAGGTTGGTCTGCAATTCTCACTTCGGTTAAGAAAATTTCCATAATATATGGCACTGATAAATTACCGACTTATAGTTCGTGATCTGCCTTCACTCGTATGTATATCATCGCAAAGTAACATTGATGGTATTTCGTGGCAGGGACACCAAATTTGTAGACTTGCATGCAGCGCTTCTACAAACACAGTATCACAATATCAAAAAAGTGCCTAATTATGTAAAATAAACTTTCTATAGCAAAGTTTGTCAGTAACTATATATCCTATAGTTTGAAAGAAATTTCTATGATTTCTTATACGGAAATTTTGATGCATTTCTAACAATTTTAGGGAGATCGGACTCAAATGGAACCCTCCAAGGAATATAGCAGCGTTCTTCAGTCAAATTCTGAAGTAGGGCGTTGTTGAAAAGTTTTCTGAGGTAGGGCGTTTTCGCACTGAAATAGCACCTAAGACTGCTACCGCTTAGAATTTGTTGTTGTGTTCCATTTTCCTATAATAAATCTAATTAATTAACCCTCTACTGCATGAGTTATGGAAGAGATGAATAAAAAAGTTTTAACTGTAAAAAAACATGTTGTTTACGTATTAATAAACCTATGTCGAAAGAAAAATCGACTCCAAGTCATTCATTTTAAGTTTTTATATTGCGAAGAAATATTTGGAAAATTGTATGAAAACAATAGAAAACAATTGGGTAGCAGTAAACCAATTATTGATTTGCAAAGGATTGAAGACGATGTGTGAATTTAGAAAGAATTTTTTGTATTACACGACGCACACAAAAGTGAGGTTATATTCAAAATGTCATATAACCATAGGCAAAAAAATAACGTTTCGTTATTCTTAGTTAACTTCTCAATGCATTTAATTAGTGGAAAAACAATGCCAAAGTAGTGACACCATATTTGGGTTCAATGCGTCAAAGGGTTAAATAATAAAATAATTCATAGTGAAAATTTTTTAATATGTGGGTGGCATATAATTGTGTTATCTATATTAGACACTTTATTAAGTTATACGATTCAGAAATTGTTAAGGGATCTTTTTTTCAAAGAAAATTAAAAATAAAAATAAATTTCCGTGATAAATTTAAGGTTATTTATTTAGTGGATGTATTTTATAATTTTTCCGAAAACTGAAAA